ATAACGTTTACAGGACCAAGCAATGCACAAGTATCTTTATTTGCACGGATTCTTTCAATACCTCAATAAGCAGATCAGGCAAATTTTTTCCTTCATGATTTTTGAAAGGAGAAATACCCTTCAAAATTCAAAGGATTTATCAACCTGTTAACACCCCACTATATATCTTTGTCGATGTGACATCAGTCATTTTCCAAAAACAATGTCGATTAAACACCAATAGTCCACTTCAATCAAAGTACTCAGAAGTATAGAAAGCCGGACTCATTTACAGAGTAGAATGAATTTCGTACATGTACTTGAATTGCGTTTATATTCTGATGAAAAAATTATTTTAAAACTATCAATATAAATGATAAGAAACTGACAGAGAGTTTTTCAATCCTAATACCAGCGTCCGATTTTGTCAGAATCAGAATTAATCTGGTACCGCAGCTGAATGTAAACAAACAGGCCAATCTGGTTCCCTCTCCTGCTTTACTTCGTATGTGTAGAGAACTACGATAACACTGATTATCAAAAATCCTAACGCTAATGAACTATGTTCTTTAACTTAGGACTGAAATTTTAAAAGTCATTACTACTAATGTTTATTTATATAGATAAATCTTCGTTTTATTTTTGTTACTTTATTTAGCGTTTGTATTATCTCAAAAGTGGTTGAGAGTAAGAACTATATTTTTGCACGTAACTTTAAAATGGCGACTATGGGGTTGACTTTCTGCCTTGAACAGGATGACATACATTGTAAGCCGGTGTAAAGACGAATAATGACCCCCATCGAATAATGACCGGGGGTCATTTTTCGACAGCAAAAAAATGACCCCGGACAATATTCTACGGCGAAAAATGACCCCCGGTCATTATTTAACGTCGAAAAATGATCCTTTTACCCTTAGAAAAAGTGTCACCACCCTAAAAATTTGCAGAACCTACGTGAAGAAAAATGACCCCCGTAGGAAAATGACTCCCTGTGGATTAAAGCTGAAATTTTTAGGGTGGCATAAGAAAAAATAGATAAAGAAGCATATTGGCCAAAATGCTCACCTGAGCTAAATGGGTATAAATTGATGTTATGTTGATCTCATAACATTATACAATCATAGCTATATTTTAAGGTTAATGCGATGATTCAGAATCTAAAGGAGTAAAAGATTTATTGAGCCTAAAGGGTTATGTAAACATTGCTTTTCGATGGTGGAAATCATCGAACTGACAGAAAAAATCAGCAGTATCATATATTATTATTATATCCTCCGCTTGAAAAACGGCAGGGTATATAGTGATCGGGATGTCCGTCCGTCCGTCTGTTACGCTTTGGGGTATCCATCTCTCCGCAACTCCTCTTATATATATGAATTAAAAAGATGTGTTTGTGAAACAGCTGTTCCCCTGTATGGCAACATAACGAAGATTAAGCTTTTCTAAAATGCAATTTAAATATATTGGTACCCAAAGTAGGGTCTTCTCACAAGAAATACAATTGCAAAATAGGAAATCCCTAGCACCCCTTGTTCAAAAGTAATGGCGAAGGATAACTTTTTCAAAGGTAGGTCAAACTCAAAGGTCAAAGGGTCAAAGTTTCTTAAGAAAGGTTTAATGTAACAATTATTACATATGTGAAGTATGAAAACCCTAGCCCTAATCGTTCAAAAGTTAAGGCCAAGGTTAAACATTTTTTTTTTCATAAGAACGGAAATCTCCAAGGTCAAAAGGTCTAATCGGGTGGTACCCAAAGTATGGTTTTGTCACAAGGAATACACATATTAAATACATATTAAATAAGAAAGTCAAAGATCCAATAAATGAAAAGTTATGGTCAAGGTTAAAGTTTTTGCGGACAAACAGACCGCCAGATAGACAGACAGACATACAGATGTACACGATAAAACTATATACACCCGAATCTTCGATTACGGGGACATAAAAAGAAATGGTCTTCAATCAACTTTTCATATCATGATACAGTATAAAGAAGACGTTATAAAAATGAAAATGTTTGTTCTGATTTTCATATTAAATTCTTTGAAAAATATTCTCAGAACTGATCTGAGTAAAAGGGTGGAGTAAAACAAGAATTAAGAAAAGTAATGAATACTGTGTGCTAAATCTAAAGGTTGTGTCTACATGTATACTTTTTGCATTAGAATGTATATTTTACACTAGCCCATAGCTTTACAGAGCATATTTTAGGTGTTATTTCCTATCTAGCTTGTAACACGACCTTTGATTGGTTACAAAGTCGGGTGTAAATATCCGTGCACCCGACTTGAGCCGGGTGTAAATAAAACGTGACGTCACAATGCATACATTCTCAGTACGTAGTTATCTAATCGATAGATTGAGACACACTCTGATGTTTACAAAGCTTTTTTTATTGGTACAAAGGAAATAAATTCGTTATCCAGGTTCAATCAAGGGTGTACGGGGATTTACTCCTGTTTGTATTCCATACACCCTTCAGCCTTCGGCCTCAGGGTGTATGGAATAAATCCCCATACACCCTTGATTGAACCTGGATAACTAATATTATACCCACCCCACCCCCTTACTTATTTATGAGGAAGTCAATTGTCAACAAAAGCAACAAAAAAAACTACCTTAGCTTTATTTTTCTATAGCGAGGGACTAAAAATAAGCTTAAAATAATATACTATTCTACTAATTTTCAACTGCTACTTTGCCACAATACTTTCAAGTTTACCCCCATCAACATTTAAAGTATGCTTTAATCAATACATTATGATATGATGTACTTGTGTGAAGGCTTAAACTCATTTCAATATTTTACCTAAAGCCTCTTTTAGTATTATTGAAAGGTATAGAGTTTTATTGATATTTTTGCTTTTCATTTATTTATTTGATTTAATGTAATGTTCTTTTTTGGGGGAGGGGGGATAAAATTTCACCCTCTTTCATTGTCTGACGTCTAGGATTAATTCGAACAAATTACTTCTTTGTACGCACCGATATTAATTCGTCTGCTACAAATTTCTACTTTTTCCAAACAAATAATTTTTTTCTGAAACAACGTTTCAATGGAGTCAGTAAAGAAAAAAAAAATTATATTCATAAATTTCATCTCCAGCGTGCGTTTGATCCATTTAAATGTGCCATCTTTGATTTTCTAGGTTTGCTCCTTTATCAGAGAAATGAAGATTAATTGATTGATTGTTAATTGCTAAAACTAATTTGTCAATATTTCGGCTGAGAAAATGAGAAACTTTCACAACTGGCTATTAAAACCCCTGTCTGTATGAAAATTCCCTGTCTTTCTCTGTATCCTACAGATTGTTCACAGTAATCAACGGTATATTTACAGTATGGTACGGTAGCTCTGTATATAAAGTAAATCTCTGCATGCCACTGTATGTATCTCCAGCATGCCACAGTTACATAAAGTAGGCCCCGATACGCCTACAGTATGTCACTGTATAGCTACTGTTTCCTACAGACACCTACGGTTAACCCCAGTATATGCCCCAGTATGCCCCTATATATGTTCATTGAAGCAAAAAGATTGATTGATTGTATATTGTTTAACGTCTCGCTCGAGAATTTTTCACTTCATATGGAGACGCCACCATTTGCCGGTGGAGAGCTGCAAATTTTATCCTTTACTCAGCACTTAGGGCCATAGAGAGGGATCTTTTTTCGTGCCAGCACCTACTGCGACACGGGACCTCAGTTTATACTGTCTCCGAAGGACCGGTCTCCACTTCCCGCAGTGGGATTCGAACCCGCGACATAAGAATTGACTTCTTACTTCTTGACTCTAGAGCAGACGTTCTAACCACTGCGCCACGCGGGCGACGAAGCAAAAAGAAGTATACACACTCCCAGAGCACTGTATGGTTACCTAAGATGTGGGATTATCAATTTAGTACACAGAGTTATATACCTGTGAAATTTTTAACAAGATTTGAAACACATGGTAGTATTTTTTTTTTCATTTGTGAACAGGCTTATTGAGTTCTGTCATAACTCTGAAATATAACTCTGAAAAATTAATAAATCATTGCTTTAGAAAGTATTTATCTATCTATTTTTTCATAAATTATTTAATTATTTTTAAAAGTAATTCAATAATTTATCATTTTTTTCCATTATTTTTTGCTAACACCTGTTTAATCCATGAAATACTTGGAGTGACTTTGTATTTTTAAAATGAATTGGTTTTAAAAGCCAAAAGTGTTTATTACCCCTACGTGCTACATGTAAGAAGATCAAATCTATTCGAACAAATGCATGAATTACTCCAAGGAAGAACAATTATAATATACAGTATATTTTTCCCTTTCACCTGTTATAAATTTTGTATCACTTTAAAGGGGGTCATCTTTCAAAGGGGGTCAATTTTTTATAGGACGAACATATAAAATAATGACCCCTAGGACTCTTTTTCTACAAAAAAAAGATTTTTTTCTACGGGTGGAGGGTCATTTTTTGTCGTTGCAAAATGACCCCCGGTCATTATTCGATGGGGGTCAGTATTCGTCTTTACGCCGACAACAATCGCATCATCTCGGGTCTTTCCGTCAGAGGTCGGAAAAACAACCTCGAATGTATTAACATCACCGGATGTTAAAAATTTATACATCTTCCTGTTTATTCAAATATAGTGTAAACGGAGATAGAAGTTCCTTCTATGGTATATTTTAGGTAATATCATTACATTGAATAAAGTTGAACTCCATATTCCACAGATGAAAGGTCTCCATGCATTTATTTCAAAGATCGTGAAAAGGGTTGTAATGGCGTCTTCCTAGTACATTCGAGGTCGTTTTTCCGCTAGCCGGAAATGCCCGAGAAAGTTGCGATTGAAGCCGGCAATTGCTCTTTAAGCAATAAGCCCGGCTAAAAACAAGTGAGGTTTTTGTACGCCTATATTTGCTTACATACAACACGACATAAACATTCTTCGTAGTTTCTTTGCTTTATATCTATGTTTTATCAGTGTACCTGTATGTTTTCAAGGGAAACCTGTTTTGACGATATATATCGCTTCTGGAAAAGTCCAGTTATTTGCGGCTTTAAGCTAAAAGAGATAGAAACCGATTGGATTCCTGGTGCGTCTATGAAAATTTGTTTATTTAAAGTCGTTTAAGTCAAGCTTTAACATTCTTATATTTCATAGTTACTTTTTAAGAAGTGAAAATAAAAAAAGATGATATATTTCAGAGTCTTCTTTCAAGTATTTTAACATTTTTTGCGGTTTAGATAAAATTAAATGCATAAATATCTTTATTTTTCTTTGTCTTATTTTGCGCATGCAGACTATAGTATGCTATCTTTACTGAGACCAATAAAACATGTATACTAGTATATTTTGTTCTACTTATAATTAGAGAAAGCAGATCGTATGTGTAATCATTCATGCTCCATATCCACGGTGCCACTTACTGAATGGCCGACGTTCCAGCTTTCCAAAGTACTTTTTAAACTCGAAATAAACAAAAACAATAGTATTTTATTTCAAACAAAGCCAAATTGCAAACAGGTGATTGAAGTTGATATGAAGAGAATCAAAATGGAAACAACATGTAGAAATAACAAGCATTCAGGTATGTTTATAGACATCGATTATAATTTTACTACATATATATATATGTACACAGATATTTGGACAAAGAGGGGAGATCAAGAGGATATATATAAAGGGACTAAAGATGCCTAAAACATATTACATTTTCAAATGCATATTTGTTTAAATGGTATAACAGCCAATCATATATGTTTCAATCAATAAGTTTAACTTTTGCAGTATTTGGTACTTTTGTTGATATTTGCACATCAGCAGAGGAATGTGGCGGTCAGAAAGTTTGTAGGTTAACAGGCAAACTTGGATTTGGTGTGTGTGAAGCTCCAGGTAGTTTTATGTAGCGTTTCTATTTTTTAAACACATTATGTATCGTGAAAATCTAAAATGATTATTCGTGGTATTCCCTAATCTAAAATGAACGAAATCATAGACCTTATTACGAATTCATTTTTTCAGTATTTTTTTTTATAAAAGTCTTTAAAATAAATGAATAGATTAATGAACATTATATTTTTGATTGAGTACAATACAATTTGCACCAATCATATTTTCTTATTGCATTTCACAAAAAAACTGAAGAAAGCAAGTAATAATTATCCTTTTAAGTCTTTTTTAATAAGGGATTTGCTTTTTCTTAATAAGCTAAAACATAAGTAAGCTACATGTACTACCTTCTCTAAATTTAAGAATTTATGTTCATTAAAGTTTTAATTGAGTTGTGTGCAATTTTTTTCTTTCAGACTCATCAAGGACATCACCAGCAGATGTCACAGAGACCATTATTGGTAACAAATTGGAAACATGTGAAATATTTCAGTTACGATATAGTAGAATGTAGCTATAGATGTATACCTTACTTCCGATTGTTTTATCAAATCATCATATTTTTTAAATCCATTGAAAAATATTGGTAAGGAAGTCACGCACTTAAAGTTATTCTGCCGATGTTGTTATGTACCCAGGGAGGTTGAAAAGTAGACATGTTGGATATAAATGAAAAGAATTTCATTCTGATTAAGAACATTGATATTTTGTAAAAGTTTAAAGAAAGATTACCCAGACATTACTTTGTTAGATAATATTAAAAATCTCCAAATATATAAATTCTATGGAACGCCGTAACTACCTTATGTGCAGAACTTGCATTATATGCTGGTACTTTGTCATTATATGATGGTATTTGGTATTTTATCATTATATGATGGTATTTTGTCATTATATGACGGTATTTTATCATTATATGATGGTATTTTATCATTATATGATGGTATTTTATCATTATATGATGGTATTTTGTCATTATTTGATGGTATTTTGTCATTATATGATGGTATTTTATCATTATATGATGGTATTTTATCATTATATGATGGTATTTTGTCATTATATGATGGTATTTTATCATTATATGATGGTATTTTGTCATTATATGATGGTATTTTATCATTATATGATGGTATTTTGTCATTATATGATGGTATTTTATCATTATGTGATGGTACTCTGTCATTATATGATGGTATTTTATCATTATACTACTTTTCCTTATACTACTTTTCATTATTGTTTTTGTCATCTCTCGTGAGAGATGACACATTAAGTTTGATTTCCGGATGTGAAATCACAGTGTAAGCTGCCATTTATCCATCGTCAATCCTCGTCTGACTACACTACGCTCCACACAAAAAGTACGAGGCCGGAGGATTACCGCAGTTAGATGATGATGCGATTTTCTAAATATAAATCGAGATGTAAACAATGAGCGATATGCATTATTATTGAGACAAAACAACCAACCTGTGCATGCATCATATAAAGTCAGACACACAAAATCGCCTGGGTGGTGGTGGTTCTTCAAATATACATGCTGCATGCTCTGTATGTTCTCATGTAAAGTCTTCTTCGCTATAAACGTAAATGATGGTGAGAACTCGATGGAAATTTCTAAATAGGTGAGCGCGTGTGTAAAGATCCTCTGCGGCCGACGCCTGGATCCAAGATTTATTATTAAAATTATTAAAAAGAAAGCCGGAATCGAACCTTCAGAAATTAACAGCACATGTTACACTGTATATAAGTGTATATATTTATGTCCTTAAGAAACTACGGACATTGGAACATTAAAGAACACAAAGAAGTATTAGTGTTTTTTTTTTTTTGCATGTCTAATCTATTCTTTTAAAGTTTTTTTTATCATGTTTATAATTAAAAGAACTTGCAATCATTTTCTTAGCTGCAGAACTGTACGCAGCTCTCCGAAAAAATATATTGACAGACCGGTAAGCTACAGTGCCATCCATTGAAAAAACTGTATATTTATTAAGGTCATACGCAACGTAGTTTGAACTTTATTGGGTTCTTTCCTGGAGTTGAAGAGTTCCACTAAACATGCCAAATGAAGGACCTGCGTGCAATATTATCTACACTACTGGCTTTTAAAACCCCTGTCCGTATGAAAATCCACTGTCTTTCTCTGTATCATACAGCATTTTCACAGTAATCTACGGTATATCTACAGTATGCTACGGTATGCTAGCTCTGTATATACTGTAAATCTCTGTATGCCACTGTATGTATCCCCAGCATGCCACAGTTACATACAGGAGGCCCCGATACGCCTACAGTATGCCACTGTATGGCTACTGTTTCCTACAGACAACTACGGTAAACCACAGTATATGCCACAGTACGCCCCTGCATATGTTCATTGAAGCAAAAAGAAGAAGTTTACACACTCCCAGAGCACTGTACGGTTACCTAAGATGTGGGATTGTCAATTTAGTACACAGAGTTACTTACCTAAGAAATTTTTGAACATTATTTTAAACACATGGTAGTATTTTTTTAAAAGTGTTAAGAGACTAATTGTGTTCTTTTATAACTCTGAAATAACTATGAAATATTAATAAATTGTTCTTCAAAGAATTTTATCTATCAATTTTTAAAATTAATTATTTAATTATTCTTTGGTTTGATTTATTACTTAATTTTGTTATTTTGCAAACACCTATTTAATCCATAAAATACTTGGAGTGACTTTGAATTTAAAAAAAAATCCGACCGGGGTAATGCTGAATTTTGGAAAATTGTAGGTTTTAAAATTGATATAGTTTCCTTGAAAAAATAAATAAAATTAATTAAATGAAATTAATCATTTTAAAAACAAATCAATCTATTTCTTGACAAATACAGAGCTGCATAGTAAACTCGGCACAAAATAAATAAGGTGAGTAGGAAAGTGAAAATTAAATAAAATAAATGACTTTAAAAATACAAAATTAAAATATGAACTAATTATATATCTTATTTATTTATCAATTTATCTACAAACACATAGATAGACAAAATAAATAAAAATTAATTTATTTATTTTGTACCTGACAAGACAACAAAGTGATTAAATATACCCCCCACCCAATTGATTTTTTTTAGTCTTATTTTTATGTGAAAATCATTTCTCCTAAAATATGCTACAAAGTATTTTTTAAGCAAATGAAAACAAATTCCAATAATTTTACGTTCATGATGGATATCAAAATAATCGTCAGATTATACACAATATTAATTAGTCAATTGCAATTTCATATTTTACTTTGTTTTGATTAAAAAAAAATCGGTATTCAAAACACTAACACGATTATGAAAGAACTTCAAAGCCATTGATTGTTTACAAGGGACATGGGGTACACAGTAATGACACCTATTGTCTTTTTCACTGACCACTATACCTTGTTTATTTTGTGACAGAGGGCGACCTTGTCCACTCTGCGGCTGTTTGAATAAACATTTTCTCTTTGTGAGAAAACCGTTTTTTGTCAAACAAAAACAAAATACAAGTATCAAAAAAGCTATTGGCGGATTAAGATTGTGCATTATGAGACGATTATTTTGATATCCAACACGGAAGTAAAATAATTAAAAGTAGTTTAAAAATGCTTCAAAAAGAATTTGAGAGACATTTTAGCGGAAACTTGTTTACATTAAATAAGGCAAATAAATCCAACTTTCGGGATTATAATTAATTAATTTGCTCTAATCGTCAATTCAAAAAATTAATAGATAAATATATTGTTCTTTTTACAATGATTAAATATGTGCTTAAAATCAGTTTTATTTATTTAATTTCTAACAATTTAAAAATCAATTATTGAATTTATTTTAGAATCTAAAATTTTCTTCAATTCAATTCAATTCAATTTATTCTCTCAAAACCATGTAAATGGTACATGAGGTACAAAACATATAAAACATATATACATATAATACAGTGGGTCAAGCAGAAGGTGATAATTAAGGAGAACAGACAATACTATTAATTTTAGAAATAAATGTACATAATTGTTTCAAAGAATCAACATCATTTTGGCACATGATTTCACAAAACTTGATGATATTTGGATAAGAACAGAATTTTTGGTTCAAATAAACTTTTCTTAATTGGTTTAAAGCACTACATTCTAAAATATAATGATACTCATCTCCTATCTGGTTATTACTACATAAGCTACAAACTCTTTCATTTCTTTGAGTACCATTCCATCTACCTGTTTCAATTGGGAGGTGGTGATTTGTGGTTCTAAACTTAACAAAAGTTTTTCTGAATCTAGATGATAACAGTGTTAAATATTTTTCGCACTCAAAATTGGTTTTAAAAATTCTATAATTTAAACTTTTTGAAGATTTCTGAAATGCAGCATTACTTTTGTTGTGAAAGTGTGTGTTTTTGTGTAATTTTTTTTTCTAAAAGGTACAAAAAAAGCCATTCCAAGTAATTTATGGATTAAATAGGTGTTAATCAAATAAATAACTGGTAAATAAATGAAATAAAGAATTAAATTATCACCATAAAAATGTCAAATTTTTAATTATATTTTTTAAATTGACAATACAACTAAATAATTAATTATTTATATTCTTCAAAAAGAAAATTATTAGGGCTTTTTGTATAAATATTTTTATCCTAAACTATGTTACAAAGTATTTTTTTTAGCATATAAAAGCGAATAACAGTTATTTTACGTCCATGATGGATATCAAAATAATCCTCAGATGATGCACGATTATAATTTGTCAATTGCAATTTCATATTTTTACTTTGTTTTGATTTTTAAAAAATCGGTATTCAAAACACTAACACGATTATGAAAGAACTTCAAAGCCATTGATTGTTTACAAGGGACATGGGGTACACAGTAATGACACCTATTGTCTTTTTCACTGACCACTATACCTTGTTTATTTTGTTACAGAGAGCGACTGTGTCCTATCTGAGGTTGTTTGAAATAACATTTTCTCTTTGTGAGAGAACCGGTTTTTTTTTTCAATCAAAACAAAATAAAAGTATCAGAAAAGCTTTTGACGGATTAAGATTGTGCATTATGAGACGATTATTTTGATATCCAACACAGAAGTAAAATAATTAAAAGTAGTTTAAAAATGCTTCAAAAAGACTTTGAGAGACATTTTAGCGGAAACTTGTTTACATTAAATAAGGCAAGTAAATCCAACTTTCGGGATTATAAGTAATTAATTTGCTTGTATCGTCAATTTAAAAAATAAATAGATAAATATATTGTTCTTTTTACAATGATAAAATATGTGCTTCGAATCAGTTTTATTTAATTAATTTCTAACAATTTTGTATAGTCAATTTTAAAATTAGAATAAATTATTTATTTTATTTATTTACCATTTATTTATTTCTCTAACACCTATTTAATCCATAAAATACTTGGAATGGCTTTTTGTACCTGTTGGGAAAAAAATTACACACACACACACCTTCACAACAAGAATAATGCTGCTTATTTAAAATAAATAGTTTTTAAAATCAATTCAATAATTGATTTTAAATGGTTAGTGAATAAATAGATAAAACAAATTTACAGCACGTATTCAATCATTGTAAAAAGAACAATATATTTATCTATTTATTTCTTAAATTGACAATAAAAGCAAATTAATTAATTATAATCCCGAAAGTTGGATTTATTTGCCTTATTTAATGTAGACAAGTTTCCGCTAAAATGTCTCTCAAAGTCTTTTTGAAGCATTTTTAAACAACTTTTAATTATTTTACTTCCGTGTTGGATATCAAAATAATCGTCTCATAATGCACAATCTTAATCCGCCAATAGCTTTTATGATACTTTTATTTTGTTTTTGTTTGACAAAAAACGGTTTTCTCACAAAGAGAAAATGTTTATTCAAACAGCCGCAGAGTGGACACGGTCGCTCTCTGTCACAAAATAAACAAGGTATAGTGGTCAGTGAAAAAGACAATAGGTGTCATTACTGTGTACCCCATGTCCCTTGTAAACAATCAATGGCTTTGAAGTTCTTTCATAATCGTGTTAGGGTTTTGAATATCGATTTTTTTAAAATCAAAACAGAGAAAAATATGAAATTGCAATTGATTAATTAATATTGTGCATAATCTGACGATTATTTTGATATCCATAATGAACGTAAAATTATTGGAATTTGTTTTCATATGTTTAAAAAATACTTTGTAGCATATTTTAGGAGAAATGATTTTCACATAAAAATAAGACTAAAAAATCAATTGGGTGGGGGGTATATTTAATCACTTTGTTGTCTTGTCAGGTACAAAATAAATAAATTAATTTTTATTTATTTTGTCTATCTATGTGTTTGTAGATAAATTGATAAATAAATAAGATAAATAATTATTTCATTTATTAATTTTGTATTTTCAAAGTCAATAATTTTATTTAATTTTCACTTTCCACCTCACCTTATTTATTTTGTGCCGAGTTTACTATGCAGCTCTGTATTTCTCAAGAAATAGATTGATTTGTTTTTAAAATGATTAATTTCATGCCGTTAATTAATTTTATTTATTTTTTCAAGGAAACTATATCAATTTTAAAAACTACAATTTTCCAAAATTCAGCCTTACCCCGGCCGTGTTTTTTTTTAAAGTTCAAAGTCACTCCAAGTATTTTATGGATTAAATAGGTGTTTGCAAAATAAATAAATTAAGTAATAAATCAAACCAAAGAATAATTAAATAATTAATTTTAAAAATTGATAGATAAATATTCTTTGAAGCAACAATTTATTAATATTTCATAGTTATTTCAGAGTCATAAAAGATCACAATTAGTCTCTTAACACTTTAAAAAAAAATGCTACCATGTGTTTAAAATAATGTTCAAAAATTTCTTAGGTAAGTAACTCTGTGTACTAAATTGACAATCCCACATCTTAGGTAACCGTACAGTGCTCTGGGAGTGTGTAAACTTCTTCTTTTTGCTTCAATGAACATATACAGGGGCGTACTGTGGCATATACTGTGGTTTACCGTAGTTGTCTGTAGGAAACAGTAGCCATACAGTGGCATACTGTAGGCGTATCGGGGCCTACTGTATGTAACTGTGGCATGCTGGGGATACATACAGTGGCATACAGAGATTTACTGTATATACAGAGCTAGCATACCGTAGCATACTGTAGATATACCGTAGATTACTGTGAAAATGCTGTAGGATACAGAGAAAGACAGTGGATTTTCATACGGACAGGGGTTTTAAAAGCCAGTAGTGCTATGTCTATATATGGATTTGTACACCTCTTCTAAAACAATTTTTGATGAAAAAAAATCTGGAATTTATGTTTTGTAATTTTTGTACATTTGTCTTTAATTAATGCAAAAATTTAAAAAAATTGATATCTTTTCAAAACCCCTAGCTGTCGCTCGGTCATCTCCGTAAACTTTGAATGACCGAGATCTTTCGGCAAAACTCGACTGATTCCGTTTCCGTCTTAACGACATTAATATATCCATTATATACAGTGTAACATGTGCTTTTTTTAATTTCTGAAGGTTCGATTCCGGCTTTCTTAATTTCGATCGCTTAATCAGACTTAAATGTATTATTTTTAAGAAATTACAGCAAGTTTATAGAATGACTAATGAACCAAAAAATTGAAATTTCGCCATCAATCCATATCAGAAAATGCGAGTACTTATATGAATGTTTTTTTTAAATTTAACGTTGTTTTTCTGTGAAATCTTGGATCCATGCGTCGGCCGCAGAGGATCTTTACACACGCGCTCACCTATTTAGAAAATTCCATCGAGTTCTCACCATCATTTACGCTTTACATGAGAACATAAAGTGCATGCAGCATGTATATTTGAAGAACCACCACCACCCAGACGATTTTGTGTGTCTGACTTTATATGATGCTCAGGTTGTTTGTTTTTCTCAACAATAATGCATATCGCTCATTGTTTACATCTCGATTTATATTTAGAAAATCGCATCATCATCTAACTGCGGTAATCCTCCGGCCTCGCACTTTTTGTGTGGAGCGTAGTGCAGTCAGACGAGGATTGACGATGGATAAATGGCAGCGTACACTGTGATTTCACATCCGGAAATCAAACTTAATGTGTCATCTCTCACGAGAGATGACAAAAACAATAATGAAAAGTAGTATAAAGAAAAGTAGTATAATGATAAAATACCATCATATAATGACAAAATACCATCATATAATGATAAAATACCATCATATAATGACAAAGTACCATCATATAATGATAAAATACCATCATATAATGATAAAATACCATCATATTATGACAAAATACCATCATATAATGACAAAATTCCATCATATAATGATAAAATACCATCATATAATGACAAACTACCATCATATAATGACAAAATACCATCATATAATGATAAAATACCAGCATATAATGACAAAGTACCAGCAGATAATGCAAGTTCTGCACATAAGGCAGTTACGGCAAATATTAAATGTTATGGACAAAGCAGATTATGAAAACACATAAAGAAAAAAGTTTTTATGTCTTCTGTTTAATACAAATTAAGATACTCAAAACGTGTAGTATTATAGCATTACTTTAATCTAAAATCATCTTTTTTTTTTTAGTTTTCTTGGTTGTATAACACTGTACAACGCGCATGTGCCAAAAAAACATCCTGTCGTCCTAAACGTATTGGTTTTGTTGTGCGTAAATCTATGGGAAAAAATAGAAGCAGAATCTATGATGGACGTTAATGCATTGTACTTGTTTTGAGTAATTTTTTTTATATTTGCACAGGAAAGTTACCTCCAGAGAGTACTTTAAAGTACAGTGCTAATACAACTGTATTAGTTGGAACAGGACTTGGTGGAATGGCTCTTGGGATTTTAATTTCTGCGGCTTGTTTCTTAGCAATAAAGGCTAAGGGACATCAAGCTTTTTTAAAGAAAGTATGTCTCTCTCTCTCTCTCTCTCTCTCTCTCTCTCTCTCTCTCTCTCTCTCTCTCTCTCTCTCTCTCTCTCTCTCTCTATGTTTGTGTGTGTAAATGATATTATGTTTAAACGAAAATGCAGAAAACACTCTTAGGACAATGCATCCATCGATTGTACTAATTCCCCTCCTTCCAAATAATTCAATTTTCATATGTTTGAAACTTATATTTTCCTTACAACAAAGTATTGTTAATTTTAGGTTCAGGCTTGTGGTAAAACCTGAGTTGAGTGGGGTTGAGTTTACTTACCTGGATTTATGGAAATAATACTGCGCTATTTCCTATTTGAATTAAATCAAATTAGAATATGATTTTAATTTCTCAAAAACTGCTATTCATTTTGGATCTGTAAAAAGAATGAAGTCAGAAATTCTTGCACTTCTTGCACTTCAATAGTATAACTGTATTAAGAACTAGAAAGTTAAACAGGTAATTAAAAATAATCAAGAGCCTTTAAAATTCAGTTTCTCGGTGTAGTTATTTGCTATTCATTTATTTGATACTTTCGCTGTCCTGGTTACTATGTTTGTTTGGATAAGAGTACATGGTCATAATTTGAAGCATTGATTTGATGATGTAGTTGTATTACCCAGTTTTTTTAAAATCATTTAACGTGTTTTAAGGTAATAAGTTCTTTTTGTATTATTATTTCATTTTTCTATCTAAATTGACATTGCTAAGGAGAGATTAAATATAAGAGAATTTAATCTGTTTTCAAACTTCCTCTTCCGATACATTAGAAATCGCACTATATTACCCCATATGACTGCATTCCGTAAACTTGTTATCAAAAGCTTCATACATTTTTGTGCTTCAGTGCTGTATTTGGCAGGCAAAAAAGAGTGAACAAGAAGAAATAGGTGGATCAATCCCTGAAGGAGATCCTTATAATCATCTACGAGATGACAATGCAGATCATATTGGCGAATTGGATAACATGTATGATCATTCAGACATTATTTTACAAAGGGAATCTAAGGAATATAGTTTTACCGCTGAAAGAAATCCTACTAACAATCCATCAAATGTGGAACAATTTTCTTCAGCTCATCGCAGTGATGAAACAGACAACTATTTTTTGATTGAAAAAACTGTCATATAATCTTGTTAGAAAGTCGGAAAATATTCATTCTGTGAGAGAAAGGTCTGTTTGAGGCCCAACTGGACAGATTGAGGACTTTATCCTACTCAAAACATTTGCTTAACTTGATTAACTTCCAAGGTGATGGTTATATGTACTTGCTATGATTACGTATCACACTTGATTGTACAGAGAGTGAAGGATGAAAACAATTACTGTATTATTTATTTACAACTTAATGGACAGTGCCAGGAAAATTTAGATTTAAATCATAGCTCACTTGAGTTCTGACTTCTTACCATGTAAAGCTATATGAGTATAGATGTCCTTACCGGATGGAGAAAGTAATTATTACAAAGGGAGGTAAATACTCTAAAGTAGGTACATGTAGGCACAAGCAAAAGCGTATAGATATGCAAAATCTGAAGTTAGTGTTCAATTTTGTACAAATGATATCGCAAATTTTTGTGGACAATCAGGATTTAAGAGACACTATACGATTTCTTTGTAAACAACAGTGGAGATCCGCTTGTATGAAACTGAGATTGAGTAACAGCAAATAAGAGAGAAAAAATAGGCCACAAATCTATAACTGTTTAATTCTACCAACAATGAAAAGAAGCAAAGTGTAAATGAAATAATTTATGGAAACATGAGGGATTCAGAAGAAGGCAAATGTATGAAAAAGTTCCGCCTGCAGTGCATCTAGTGAGATGATCATTTCATCAGCAAATATGCCTTTCTCTTTGAAAAGTAAAATAAATTGCTATTGGATATATGTTTAAATATTCATGGAATGGATCTAACCACTCCTAGCATTCATTTACAATGTTGTGAAGAGGATGACGCGTTTCTTTATTAATAAACTTCAAGATGTTCTAAAATTATTATGCATCAGGATATTACATATGTGTCTTTTTTGCAATGGATTTGTCATTTCCAAATTTAAAGATGATTTACTGTTGAACATTTCAAATACAATTGTTTGACATAAATGCATAATTATTGTAAATTAAATAAAAAATTTACTAGCCTTTTTTCATTACATGTACTAATGAAGTTCAGAAAATATTTTGCATTTTTGTATTGTTTCAACATTTAAAACCTGTACATAAAGTTACCTGTAATTGTTCATTACAGTGATAAAAAGTGTCGCTTAAGTTACGAACTGAGAGGTTTGTCAACATAATGTACGGTTACAGGTGACTTTATGTATAGGTCTTAAATATCCAAATCTATTGTGCTATAAAATGTACCAAAAACACAACTTAAGTATAACATAACAAAAATGTTTAAAGTATCAAGATGCTTAACTTTTATAAGGAAGGAAATTACTCCTCTCATCTGATTTGTATTTCCCTAAATGCATCATACTCTATTTTATTATAGGTTTCATTTAACGTATGTAGATTTTATTTAAGTCATAATTCTCAGGCTTCTAATAAAATATAAGATATAAAGATATAATTCGATCTTTTATCATAGAAAATAGCTTTGAGAATATATAGCCTTCTATTTTAAAAAGGGATCAGTTGAAAATAAAGAACAAAGGTGTGGCAACGCACTTTGAAAAAATCAACGCACTTTGAAAAATTTGTTCGAAGTGCGTTAAATTTGGGACAAAATCAACGCATTTTGAAAATTTTTTTTGAAATGCGTTAAATTTGGGACCAACTCACCGCACTTTGAAAAAAAAATTCAAAGTGCCTTAAGCGTCTACATCAATATATTTTACCATGAAGACACGTAACGCACTTTGAAAAAAAATATATATTTTAGGTAATGGAAAGATTTCATTTGTTATTTATATTTCAAAAGACTAACCCTTACCATAACCTCAAAAATGAATTGATTTAATGCCGTCGAAAAGAGGAGAAGACGGATATAAGATCCCTCAGTCCAAATTTTTATCTTTCCAATACATAGGTGTCGGTAACAAACGGGGGAGGGGAGCAATAAACCTAAAAAGGGTAAACTGCATTTTCAATGCTTATACGATGTATATATCTTTCCAAAATATGTGGGAGGATTAGCCACCCCCTCCCCTGGCCCTTCGCCCAGTCTCGATGTCTATGCTATACTCAAAACATTCATATAATTATGTATTTACCAAAATGGTATGACGTTGAAAGCTTTTAATATTAAAAGATTTAATTAAAACAGATGAAAACTAGAAATTTTTTAGTACAGTAAAACGTATGAGAGAGAAAGAATGTTCATTGTTTTGAACAATTAAATTGCCCTCTTTTTATTATGATAAATGCTAAGTTGCTTAAAGCTGTTCACTGTTAGTGCCCCCTTTACACCTTTACATCTACTTATCAAAGAAGAGAATTAAAAAAAGAAACGATTTAATGATCTTAAATTAAACAATAGTCACTCTTTTATTTTCAAGACCCTCTAATTTTCCCTTTTATTTTATCATACCTTAAATATTTAAAACGTCAAAATCTCAGGTCCTGATGTGACTTTATCATAAAAAAAGTTATCCGACCAGGATCTGTTATTTATCATACCCATTATTTGTAGGAATATTGATCAATCTTTACATTTTTTTTCAAAGTGCGTTAATATGGTCGATATTAACGCACTTTGAAAAAAAAAATGAATTTTTACAAAGTGCGTTAGCTTGGTCCCAAATTTGAATTTTTTTTTCAAAGTGCGTAATTTTTCAAAGTGCGTTGTAACACAGAGGTTTATGTCAAAATCATTCTATAAATACAAATTTTGGAGAGGGTTTCAAAACGCGAGATTTCAGAGGTCGGATCCCGTGCCCAGGAGGATTAAGCCACCCGTCTCTGATGAACTGTCATGGCCACCCTGAAACCTATGCTTTGATTAGTTAGTAGGAGCATTCCCTACTCAAATTAAGTACATATATCAAATAATTAACATTTAGTTTTAAACAATTTATATGTTAATACATGCGATTCTGTTTGTCATATTTTTGCTCACATTTCCTTATTGATTTGTTTCAAATTTTAACAGGAGTTTTAAATTTGTTGTTGAGTAAGATTTGAAATATAAAAGGCGACTTAGATTTTGACATTTTATACAGAAGCTTAGAGATTTTGAATGTAAAAACAAAGAATTACAAGTGTACAAAGTTAACAAGATGCTCTCAAAAAGCCTTTATGACTTATACATAAATTTTGTTATCACGAAATGTACAATTTTAGTTGTAAGAAGAATATACCTTGTTAAATGATAGAGTATCTTGTACATGCAAACCATGTTATCTTGGAGTTAATTGTTTCATTATTAAAAGGGTTACGTTTATAATTCATTTATTTTAATAGATCACTTTAAGTTTTATTTTTTAACTTTTATAATGTAAAAATTAGTTGACTATATTAGTAATTCTTCAAGACAAATAACAATAAATACTGTGAATCACTTATTTTCGCGGGGGGGGGGGGTCATTTTCGTTGTTTTCGAGGTATGGAGAGACACATGAATTTATGACTACCACGAAAAATAAAAATCCGTATGCATAATACTAAACAGTTTCCATCCAAGAATTCAAATCGCCACAAACCAATATTTTTTTCCTCAAACCTCGAAATTTGACTCCAAAATTTGATTTTACAGGAAAGAAAGGTTAATCCTCTTATAAGATGTTGGATCACCGTACCTGTTCCTTGTCTTTTATTTCACAAAGCTTAGATGTTGAATTACACATGGAGCATATTATTATGGTTCTAAGAATCTTTGCCAGTATGTACAGAACAGAAAAATAGATTTCATGAATTCAAGAAAGTATGGAAAGCCGTAATGCCCCCCGCCCCGTATTTTTTGGTATAATTACATGTATACCAAAATTTATTGTCTCATCCAACAATAAAAATCTATAGATGGTGGATTTAACCTTTCTAAACTATCTCTGTTTATAACATTTTCGGCAATATATTTCTCTTATTTAGAACTCTAGAAACATTTCTTAAATGCACTTCACTCAATGATGCATAACAATTAAATATCCCCTGAATGAAACATATGGCAACAAACAGTATTCAAGATCAAAATTTTATAAAACAATACAAAATGGTAGCAGAGCAAACACATACCTCCAAAACATTCCAGATGGGATCAGGTACCATGGAGGAGTGAACATTCCCTGTCAACCGGTCACACCCTTGTCATGATCGGGAAATAACGGAAAAATCGTCGTCAATTCAGTGGATGAATAATGGACTAACAATTTGTATGAAAATCATCATACTATTGGAAAATATGAAGATAACGAACAGTATTCAAGATTAAAAGTTCATAAAAGAACAAAACAGAGATTAGCTAGGTTAAGGAATATAGATGTACCAAAGGCATATCAGTATATGCAGAGCTTAGGGAAATCGATTATGACGTCATGGTGAAACTGCACAATTGAAGTTCGGCACATAAACAATAATTTTCTTTTTCATGCACGCTTACATTCAGTGATTTTTATAATTATTTAGTCTTTTTCAGTTATTTTACATACTTTCAATGCGTATAGTGTAAATGCAGAAAGTTTATCAAAAGACGGCTAAATTTTATATAATTCTCGGGCATGGAGAAATAACTCCCATGGCCAGCACTCCGGCAGTATTCAAAATCAAAAGTCCATAAAAGAATACAAAACAGGGGCATAGCAAACACAGACCTTCAAAACATCAGAGATGGGATCAGGTGCCATATGGCGGAGTAAGCATTCCCTGTCGACCGTTTGCCTCCGCCGTGTGCTCCTTGTCATGATCGGAAAATAATGGACCAGTAATGGAAAATCCGTCGTCAATTCAGTGTATAAATAATGTACTTATACTTAGTAATTAGAATGAAATACGTCAGTTAGTATTAGACTCAATATAAATTGTATTTCCTGACAAAATTATTGAATCGACCACAGAACGTACGTATTGATGACTAAAAACGAGACTGCTGATAATTTTGTTTCATCAATTTGTTTTTCAATAATATTCTGAAGGCATACAGAGACAATTTGGAGCTGATAAATGGTTGTTCAAAAGAGAAAATACATTTTTTCAAAGACACTGTTGTATTTCGGAGGCACTGTGTCCTCGAAAATGATTCGAAAATTCTTATTAAGGTTATCAAAAAGCCCCAAAATATGCCTCCAATACCTTTCATATGCATATACAGTGTATTTACATGCACTGAATATTTTGTCCTCAATTTCTTTTGAAGACCCTTGCCGTTAGTCAGTCTATGAGCGACACTTAGCAAGCCACCTGTATATATTTCATGAACAATGGCTGTTCCATTAGTTATGCATAGACTAACATATACGTCTATAATACAATATTTTACATTATGATATTAAATTTTGCTTTGAATGTTTTCTCAAAAGATGTTAATGTGAATAATGAATTTTTTATTTTGTTTGTTAGAAAGGGAATTAATGTCGCAGAAAACAGCATAACCCGCATAATGATTTTTTTTCTATAACAATGCGACATTAATGCCGGAACTAACAACCAAAACGTTTTTTTTTTTTTGTTTAAAAAAATGCCAGGTACTGGAATAGCGATGAGTAAATATTGGAAGGTGCACATTATCAGCTCAAGAAA